TGAGTGACTGATGGATAATCTGCCCATCTCTATGTGTGTTTCACTGGCTGACAGTCTGTTTTTTGGGGTGTTTGGCTGGCTGTGATCACATCAGTGACGGAGCCTGTCTCTGTATCTCCCGGTCTGACTGACCGCCTGACTTGCTGCCTCCATGTCTGACTGACAAGACGGCTGACAGACAGTCTGGTTATCTGTCTGTCTGTTGGCTGGGTGTTTGTTGTATATGACTAACAGATGATGACAAAAGGTCTGTCTATCCCTCTCCTTGTCCAGCTGACTGTTTGTCTGTCTGATTGTCTGACAAATGACTGGCTGACATTGCCTCTATGTCTGAATGACAGGATGGAAGACAAGCTAACTGGCTGTTTCCCCACTCCCATCTCCCACTGACTGGCTCACTGGATATTTGACTCTTGGTGCCCCAAGTAGGCATGACTCACAGGCTGCGCTGGGTAGCGGTAGGGAGGGAGTGATGCGCATTTGGAACTCCCCCACCAGCCTCAGCAACCATGCTTCTCTCCTCCCCTCCATGCCCACCTTCTGCAGCCCAGAGGAGCTAAAGTCCTTCCCCTTCCAGAGGAGCGAGGGGAACTGGGCGGAAAACTCAATGTCTGCTCAGTCTCCTTGATCTCAAATGTTTGTACTGTGTGGGAGTGAGGAAGGCATGATGAATGTATCTTCCGCACCCCATCCTCCACCCCCATTTTCACGGAACCCCGGGGGCCTTAAGAGGAGGAAATGTTCCTCAAGAAGTCTGCAAGGACATCCTCCCAATGTGCCGAGCCCTGCCGGGGCCCTGCCAACCAGGGAAGCATCTGGAGGAACCCTTCCAAATCTTTGCACTATTGTTCAGCCACTGGGGCTGATTCCCAGGACCAGGGACAGATAGGGCCGTCTGAGGGGCACACAGCCATGCTGGGAAGACAGGCTCCCTTGGTCTGCACCCTTCCATCTGTCAGAAACTCCATAGCCCCTCAGAATGAGGCTGAGCCTGGGGAGAGTGAGTAATGCTTTGTGGGGAGGGAGAGGGCACAGTTCTTTCCTGCTGGAGGCGTTTCCTCTGGGTAATAGAATTCTGCCCAGCTGCTGTCTGACCTCCCGTCCTTAAAGACAGAATTCTGCTGATGAATTTTATTTCGGGATAAATATGGGCAAGAACATGGGAGAAAGAGATGGGCAGGAAGAAATAGGAGTTTGAGAGCCTCTGGTTGGAAAGGAGACTCCCAAGAATTTAGCTCTGCCTAAATGATGCCTTCCTTACAGTTCCCAAATTCCCCAGACTGGCCCTGGGAGACACCAGGCTGGACGATCCTTGCAAAGCTGGAGGAAGTGACCCGTCCAAGCTCAGAGGGAGCTTCTCCAGACCCCTCGACAGTAGGCAGCAGCATTCGGAGGTGGCTGTGCCTCTGAAGCCAAGGATAAAGCACATTGTGTGACCAGGGTCAGGACTCAGTGTGTGATGAGGGCCAGGGCTTATTCTTGACAAGGATTAGGGCTCAATCTGAGACTAAGGTCAGTGGGTAACCTGCTTCATGACCCTGACCAGGTTGAGTTTGGGTCCAGGGCTCAGACTGTGACCAAAATCAGGGCTCTGTTGTGACCAGGTCAGGGCTTAGACCAGAACCAGGGTCAGGGGAGAATCTGGCCAGAGTCAGTTTTCACTGTGATCAGAATTAGGACTCAGTCTGTGGCCCTTGTCCCTGCTCATTCAGGGGCTGGGATTAGATTGAGTGCAGATCCTTAGGTTCTAAGAGCCAAGTCAGGTCCTACCCTAAAGGACAGGCAGGCAGAGTGACCAGTGTGCCGCTGGTGGTTCTTCCCCATCCCCATCCCTCTTCCTCCCAGTCTCTGAGGGCAAAGGCAAGAAGCCCGGCGAGCCGCTGGGGCAGGTGATGGGGTGGAGGGTAGCTGTCTTTGAATGTCCTGCTGGAGGTGGGACCAGAGAGCCATCCTCATGTCTGGGAAAGGGTATGGAGGCCGAGGACTGCCCCTAATGAGAAGGGGGACAAGGGAAAGGAGAAAAGTCATAAAAGGAAGTAGTTACAAGGGTGGGGTCTGGAAGTCACTACCTGCGTTTCAATTCTGTTTCTCCCACTTACTGGCTGTGTGACCTCGGGCATGTTGTTCAGCCTTTCTGTGCCTTAGCTTTCTTATCTATAGAATAGGGATAAAAATGGTATTTACTTCATAGGGCTGTAGTGAGGATTAAGTAACTTTTACATGAAAGTGCTTACATGGCGCCTGGTTGGTTCTAGGTTCTCAACCCTGTTATGAGCCCCACCGGGGCCACACCCTGTGAACAGTACAGGGTAGAAGTCATGTCAGGGCAGAGAGGGCTGGGGCGCAGGCTCCTGATTCCTGGCCAACTCTCCAGATCCATGGGCCTCCCCTCTGTTGGCTTCTGATGCCTCCGTAATCCCCTGGACGCTGTCATTGTAACTCTTGACACTCACAGCTACTTCTCTAATGGCCGTGTCCCCAGTTACTGTGTCTGTTCCCTGCATGCCTGTATCTTGCTCACCACTGTGTCCTCAGCACCAAGCACAGCACCTGTACATAGTAGGTGCTCAAGAAGCAGTTACTGTAATGCAATCATAATAAAAGCCACCAGTTACAAAGGGCCAGACATGGTGCTTTGCCTTCCCTCTAATGTCTTGATCCAGTCTTTCAAAAAAAACTTTAAAAAAGGACTAATTCTAACAATACTGAAGGGTATACAATGGAAAGATAGAAAGCTCACCCCCACATCTCCAGGCTCAGAAGAAACCATTACCTTGTACATCCTCATAAAACCATCACGTGTTTGTATGTTCACATTCACGCTCCACCAGCTCCTTGGAAATAAGGGTTCTTGTCTGTTTTGTCCACTGCTGTATTCTCACCACTTAAACCATGCTGGCAAGTACTCAGTTTTTAAATAAGGATATATTAAAAACTTAATATATTTTTCCTAATACCAATGGGATTATGTCATATGTAGTATTCTGTACCTTGCTTTTTAACCATTATTAATAAATCTTAGAGATCTTTCCACATCAGTAAAAACACATTTACCTCATTTGTTTTAACAATGGCTACATAATCTTCCATGCCATGGACATACCATCATTTATTTCACTAGATGGTGCATTGAGGTAGTTTCTGGTTTTCATTTCCCCTCACTCATAATGATACTTAAGCTTCACACCTCAGCTTTGCAAGCAGTTATCTCAGCCAAAAATCATTTGGCTGAGAAGACGACATCTCAGAGAGGGTAAGGCACTAGCCCGAGGCCACACAGCTGACCAACCCCACCCCATCAGTCGAGCACTTCCTCTGCTGCCCACCAGTGCCCCTCTCTGACTCTTCTCATCAGCAGACTCAAAGAAGGCTGCCCTGGAGCACTTCCATTCCCCGCACAGGGCATGGCCCTGTAGTAAGTTTCTCTCAGACTTTAGCAGTTGCTTCTTAGGAGCTTCTAATCTGGGCTCAGGAGGGTAAGAGACCATACAGACCCAGAATCCATTCCCCCATGGCTGTGGTTAAGGCACCGATTCTCAACCAGGGGTGGTTTTGACCCCTAGGGAACACTTGGCAATGTCTGAGACATTTTTAGTTGTCACGCCTAAGTGGGTGGATGCTACCCGCGTCTAGTGGGCGGGGCCAAGGATGCTGCTAAACACCCTGCAGTGCCCAGGACCGTGATGAATGATGCAGCCCAAAATGTCAACAGTGCCCCCAGGGTGGAGAAATTCTGTGTTAAGGGCATATACTCTGGCACCAGACTTGCTGGGCCCAGCCCTGGCCTGTCACTTCCTGGCTGAGTAACAGAGGCAAGTTGTCTCTGTTTCCTTATCTGTGAAATGGGGATAACAAGAGTCCCTCTCTTCCACGTTTGTGTATATTATACGTGTAAAGCACTTTGGCAAGTGCCTGACCTATGGTAGCCCTCAGTATAGAAAACCATAATTGGAATCATTGCCCTGAGAATCTGGCTGTCAGAGAGCTGGAAGAAGATGTCTTCTGCAGAGAGAACAGGCAGCCAGGCTATTCCCTGTTTCTGCACCCCAGCCTCCCCCAGGGAGTGTACCATAGTCCACAGATAGAAATAGAACCCCCTGGATGCTGCTGAACTCTGAATGGTCAGCAATGGAGAAGAAATTGCTCAAAAGACTGTTTCCATTTTGCAGGCTGAAAAACAGCTCCCAGGAGATCCTTGACATGGGGATTTCCTAGAAGCTGAGCATTAAAGGGTCTTAGAGAACAGCAACTCCAAGCTGTTCATTTTTTTTT